TAGAAGGACTAGGGGCAACAAAGGGAGGCTAATACAGACGGTTCTGAGGGATGGGGATGGGGGTGAATGGGGGAGTGGAAGCACTCAGAATGTGTACTCAATTTTAGCTTGTTCCCATTTCCTTAGTATGATAGTTTTTCGGTGCCACAGGGAAAGCGCATACTCAAGAGCACGCTAGCATAGATAAGGCTGATATGGTTACCGTTAGTTGTGCAGCTTAGTATGTAATCAGCAGTGTTGAGTAGTTCCAGGATCTGGGCCTAACTATCACCTGACAAGACAGTACTATGAGAAAATCATATGTTCGGGATGAGGTTTCTTTAGCAGAGAAGGAACCGTCAGCATGTCGCTACCGGACCAAAATTATCCACATTTTTGTGAACAAATCCATATGCTTTGTATGTTGACCAACTAATTTTTCTGTATTCCTACATCCGTATTGAACATAACTATTCATTTATTATAAATAAACATTACGATGTATAAGGTTTACCAATAGACAAGATATCTGCCGCCAAAGGGTTTAAAAAGATATGAGTAATAGCGATTGGCTGGTAGAAACATCCCGTTGGTTACGTATAGATTGATCGATTCTAGCCATTCAATCACCACCACAGTTACTCGCAAAATTCCACCAGACAGTGAACCCGGTTAACGTGAGCAAATGCTAGTTTGATGTACATTCACAGTTGAAACCCGACAGAAATGGTTCAATGAAACTTGGAACGAACTACACATTTCGCGCGGTCCAACATTTACCGTTGCAAAAAATAAATAAATAACCCTAATAATGATAATAATAATAATAATACTAATGCTAGGTGTACCAATGGTCAGTGTCATGAACTTTGACCTTGTGTGATCTTATGGTTACCTCTCTTGTCCTGTGGTTTGGTGCGCGATGCATTGGCATTTTGTGAAATACTGTCCACATGCCACCCGAATTTGTCATGTGTGCGGTGAAAAAGGACATAAATGAAAACAAATAGATTGTTATCATGACCAGCAGAGATCGGTCTGACCTAATGCACCACAACATAAAGTTTCAATGAGTCATTCGGTACTTGGTACGCAACATTCGGTACTTGTTACTGTTCACTCCGCCACTACAGAATTGTCCTCTCGGTGATAATCTTTTCACGGTAATAGTTTCGCATGGATTTTTCGGTTTGCTTCTGCTTCAGACAACTGTTTTGACAGAACATTCATGGGAAGTTTGGATGGTGAATGTTTGGATTATCCCATTCGGTTTTTCACAAGTACCAGGCACCGTTTATGATATTGGGAAGCTCTAGGCTGTCCGACGGTCCAACAACCAAACCATTTAGCTTCGGGCAAACAAATGGTTATCGATAGAATAGTGAATAGTGTATGCGATTTTTGTGGCACTAATTTTTTTCTTACCGGTTTATTTAACTAATGACTGCTCGCGCAATCAAGTAGGTATAGAGTGGATTGAAAAATTGGGACTTGGGACATCACTGTTAACGAAGCACGTTTCCCCAAGACAAGGTAATTGTGCCTCATTTCATTGCCCACTTAGTTGCCAGAGGAACATGGCACAGTTTTCCCCAACAACTACTACACGATGACGCCAAACCAAACCGTTCCAAGCGTCGAGCCATTCACTATGTACCTGTTTAAGAGGAAAATAAAGACAAAATACGAAATGGTGCTCCGTACCAGTACTTGTAAACGATAGTTTTATGGCACCAATAGAAGCTAAAACAGCCAAACTTAAACGTGGATTCACCTTTGGCTACAAGTGTATGCAGAAGCCTTCATAATACATCGTCAAACGTGGACTTCAGGAACTGCAACGGGAAAACGAGGATATGTTGTGTGTGAACTGCGAGTGGGGACCAGATCGGCTTCGAAGAAAGTACAATCTATAAAATCCAGATGTAACCACGCCTGATGACCACTCCAGTCAGTGGTTAGATGATGTTTCACAACACGCCGCACGACCACAACGCATACACCCATAAGTGTTGGCTGTGGTTACGAAACGAAACTATCTGATAGAAATCTTCATCGTATTAGATATTTCACACAACCACTCCAGAGCAACCCAACATACGAAGCTTGAAGGATACGGGGGGGGGGGGGAGATGTTAGGTGTACCAATAGTCAACAGGTGAATAGACAGTGTCACGGACCTTGACCTTGTTTCTCTTGTCACCATTCATACACGAATCCAACGGTCAGACGGTCTTTCTTCTTCCTCTCACTCTGGGCGATCTGGGAACGTAACAAATAAATACATGAAAAACAGGCCCGAAGTCATTGATAGCGTTACCTTAGCAGTGATAATCCAGAGAAGATTTACTTTGTTAGTCAAATCTGACACTTTTTCGACAAATAACAAGTTTCTAATTTCAGTTCGTCACTAACTACAGTGTTTGATGAATCTAAACAATCATTAAGGTGGGTATATCATTCAAATGTCACTGGTGGTGCTTTTAGCTTTTGCACGGTAGATCACTACACCATTACTAATCCAGTTATTCAGCACAATTATTCAGTGTTTCGGACCACAAGAAGGTGCCAAATAACAGGTGTACTTGATTGTTGTGTAACCATCTTTTTAATGATTGTCTGAGTTTAAGTTATTGAACATCCATGGGATGTTCCACGTAGCTGGGTCACAGTTTGCAGAATCGAAAGATTGTGCACTTCACTTCCTTCGGTCCAGTTGAATCTTACATTTTATTCGTGTCCATTCATGGAAAGTGACAAGCCGAGGTATTCGTGGGACAGTAATCTCATTCGAGGGAGAGAGTGAGCTGAACTATCAATAAGTACGTCAACAGTGATTCTTTAAATTTGGTAGACGGGTATGACTTCCGCTCGCTCAGTTCGGGCTGGGGGGAATGTAAATACAGCTTGACAATTGCGAGCAATTGGTTTGTCTTCGAATGAGGCTGAAGATGTTTTACTATCCAACAAACGGCGACAGCAAAGACATTCAAAGTTGGGGCCTCACACCATAAACAGAAATAGAGATTTTCTAGTAATTTCATCAAACTTTGTCTGGATGGTGTTGTGTCTCGTGAAAGATACCACCGAGCCTGGTCCCAACGATCCCAAGTAAAAAACAGTTGCAAACCGTACGAGCCTTTATTGGCAGCGCCAGACAAACGTGCGTTGCGTAGGGGAGAAACACGCGGTATTTATGGGAGTGCGATCACAGTCGACAGACAATGGTCCACAATGAGGGTTACGTGAGCGGCGCTGAAGGGAATGCAGAAATCAAGTGATCATACGCTTTGTCCGTTACCCTCACATCCGTTATCATCGAGAAAACGTCGGCAGATTCACACAATGGTAACTGGTCCCAATCCACTTCGGATTCACAAACGTGAGTATTCTCAGGAGGAGGTTAGGGGTTTCCCTGATAGCAACCGAAGTTCCCCTGTCTTTGTCATGCACCAGTGAAAGCAGTGGATAACATTGAAACTCATTTATACCTATTGTTTTGGTAAGGAACGCTTGTTTCAGCCCCAGATTTCCTAACACAAAAATTTATCTGTACAGTAAAATCCGAAGTAACGTTCAAAGTGCATGACATAACTTGGCAATTAAGTCCGACGTTCAACACTAAACAAACTACCCCGTTCGCTTTCCACGTTTGTCTCGTTTTCTAATATTGTAGAGCCAAAATGAAAACAGGACTCCCCCAATACTCAATTGTCTTTTTTTATTTCCTATTATCAATTTGAAATCTGTAATCGTAAATGTTATAGGAAATAAATGCAAGTTACAGCTTCTGGATGACAAAAAATGGAATCCGAGAGGACACAATCATGATATTTATCTCTGAAGCAAATAAAGTGTCAACATACCAATCCGGTTGACCCTAGTTGCATTTAGAATAATAAAAAGAAATGTGGGGTTAACTTTCATTTTCATTTTTCAGTCTAGAGGGCAGAGAGCAGGATACCCGTGTGGGCCCCGTCACTACTGTTTCGAAGGTATGACCATATGTAGTCATCCCACCATGGCCCCTTGAGGTGCATATTTACAGGCCGCTTGAAAGCAGCGTTGGTCGTCTCCTCCACCGCAGTCGCTAGAGGGGAATTCCAGCGCGTTGTTGATCTCCGCAAGAGTCGGTAGAGGAACCGAAGACTAACCGAATGAAGTTTACGCAACATGAAAGAGTGCCTCCGCGCGCGTTCCTCTGTTCGTAGTGGAAAATACTGCTGCAACTCCAGGCCCATATCACCCATTATGTTCTTCCTCAAGCAGATCAGATCTCTCCCGATGCCCCGATACGCAACTGGGAATAGACGACCTTGTAGACGACCTTCATTGCTGGTCCCACGTAGTCTAACAACGAGTCTAGTGGCAACACGTTGTACACCCTCTAAATTAGCCAGTGCACTGGCCGTGCAAGGATATGTCGCAGCGCCACCACACTCAAGTCTTGGTCTGACTTGGGAAGCGTGCAACAGTCTAAAAGCGGCCATCATAAGCCGATTAAAAGATTTCCGAATGGGTCCCAGAATGGTCCACGCGTTGGCGCAGATTCTATCGGTGTTTTCTCGGGTCCTCAGTGATGACGTCTCTTTTGCACGATGTTCTGTGTGATGTGGTTATTTGGAAGCTGCAAACCAACTTCGAATAATCACGCCCCAGGTGCCCAGGTGCCAGTTTTGACGGAAAGGATTGAGGCGTTCGCCCACTGAGCCAAGGTGTTCAGATTTCCTTGTTGAGTACTCCGATCTTTGAAGCCTCGATTCTACGCCAGCTTTTGATATCATCTGCATACATGAGGGATGGGCTGCACAATTGACTGGAAAAATCATGAATGTAACTCATAAACTGATGAGAAATAAACCCTGAATAGGTTTCTGCAGTGACGATAATTCATAAACGAGATGTTTCATTATAATTAAGTTCCTGATTTTCTTTTGTTGTAATTTTCTGGTTGTATGCAACAGAAAACTCATGAAAATGCAAGTGTATGTAATTCTCTCAAACATTGCCTCCATTTTCAGGCTTCCTTGATGTACCGTGGGATTCCAGTGTGCTACACCACCAACAATATATTAATAAAACTACGGTTCTGAGCAGGTAATTGATCTCTTTTTCGTCGTTTCTCCTTATCCTGTTCGATGCGGAGAGAAACGTCATTCTTTTTAACGGTTATTACGGAAAACAGGACAATATATGGGATAATTTTCATTTTTTTNGTCCATGGATATAAGTAATGGGTGAAAAGTTGTTATGCTGTTTTTTTAGCACTCCAAATGCATACCGGTCAGAAATCGAAACTACAGTTATAGTTGAAACATGGAATCACACTAGAAATCACCCATCATTATCTACCAACACCGGGAGGAAAGAAAAGCAGTCGCGGTTAGTTAACTCATAGAAATCGAGGCGGGGGGGGGACATATAATATGTAGAAAAAATATCAGTAAATAATCATCATTTGTGATCTTCTCCTCACAGGATATCTGTTGGAATCGTCTCGTTTTTGATTCCTTTAATCGTTGGTCCTCCGGCACATTATGGTGAAATCGTAACGCGTAGCTATTTGGCTAGCCTGATCTCAGAGACCTGGATCACCGCAACTCCCCAGGCTCATTTTTTGAGGGTCGAAGGAAGGACCATAGCGATGTTGTATATGGATTTTACCCGGCAAAGTAACGCCTAAGGAGAGTTCGTAGCCGTTTTATTCGATTGAAACGGCAATCAAGTCTGACCGTACTCCGGTAGTTTGACTGGCATATCACTGAATCGTGTTTGTCATCTGCTAATTCATGGGTATGGACAAATGATCATTCACTTCTCCTAGCTCTCTCTTCCGGCAAAAAAATTTATTTGTAAAACCAAACGTATAGAACATGCGAAAACGAAACCCTTGAACTAAGTGCCCGAAAAGAATGGTATAACTAGCGTCACTCTCGGGGATTCGTTTGGCAAGCTTGTAAACAAGAATGTCCGATCGGAGGATCCGTTGTTAATCAGGTAAGACGAGGGCTGAGCAAAACGTTGCCGGGTACACAAAAAATAAGCACTGCATTTTCTAGAATTAATCTCCCTCAGGGCTTATGCACAGTTCCATGCGCTCAAACCATTAGGTAAAACACCTCAATCATGCCAAAAAGGGTAACCCTTCGACCAGTTCAACGAAGGCCTCCACTGCAGCTGTTAATGTTTGGTATCGAACTGCACAAATCATGCGTTTGGCATTTGGGAACACAAAAAGACACATGGAACCAGGTCTCAACCTTTGGAGGGTGATAAACGTCCTGGATGTGTTATCTAAACAGAAACTCACCGACTACCTGTGTGCAGGTGCGTTGTCATAGTGCAGCAAGAGCCCTCGTGCCCCAGCGCTTGGACGACGCCTGGCAACAGCTTCCAGTACTCTCGGCATACATTGGCATGCCTGTCTCCGGTAAATGTACTTTGCTGTAGAAGCCACAGGATTGATTTTATCCAGGGACGCACTCACCATCTGCTTTGCCACACTGGGCTCACACCGGAATTTCTTGGAGTGGCTCCTCATTAATCAGTGTCCAATGAGCCGACTGGGTCAAAACTGTACATCCAAGTCTCATCAAACTGCATTGAGAAGTCCACTGTCAAAACTGGCAAGCATAGTGCGGCGCTAATTCACCCGAACTGCTTTTTGTTCCTCATTGAGTTGATGGGGTACCAGTCTGTATGCACAAACCTTTCTGAGGCCGAGCTTCTCCTGTGGGATAGTTGTGATTGATCCCGATGAGATCCCGATGGCTTTCTCCAGCTTTGCTAACATCATCCGCTAACCATCCTCCACGATCTCTTGTACAGCAGCAATGTTGCCCGCTGTGGTGCCCCCCACAGGTCGATCATATCGTGTCTGATTATCCAGCGACCGCCTACCACGAATTGAATTCCACAAACTATTCAAATACAGTGCTTCTTGATGGCGAGTCATCACCAAAGACAGCTCACAAACGAGCAACACTCGGCTATTGTTTTAAACCACATTTGTAGTGACAGAAAAGCCTCGCGCTTCAGAGACAACGAAAGAGTCCCATCCATACAGTCCGAGTATAGCGACTTATGAGCTGTGCTTGGCTATTGATATTTGGTTCTCTGAGTTGCAATCACGGATTAACTTTCGCAAGAGACTTCAGTTCACGTTTACCCTGTCTGGTCGTCCTAACCTCGTACTTGTGTACTCCGCGCATTCGGAAACGCTTTTCTCAGTCCTCGTGTGTTTCTATTCTCCGGGTGAGATCCCACGTTCGGCCGTTTCATTTAGTCGATCGACTTGCGTTATCAACGATTTTTATTTGCTGTACGATGCTTTCCCGGTGTGACTTAATGTTTTCTTTCGAGAGTAAAAGACTAATTTCATTCCAGAAGAAAAGGATTCGTACACTGGTTCCTTTGCATTTTTCATCAATTTACATTACCTCCCTGCCTGAAAGCTTAGCATTCATAATGGTAACAGCACTCCAAGGTAGTTAGATACAGTGGCGCCATAAAACTCTAATGCGATAACCAATAAAATATATAATTGCACAGGCAACTAGAAAAGGATTCAAAACGTTAAGTAAATCTGTACAGTGGTCATGATAAAGCAACAGAGTAAACAATTCAAGTGCGATAGACCGACCAAGAGCACCGGACAGCTGTCTTGTTTAGGACTGTTCAACAGGGCATACTTTCTGTGTCCCTGTCAAGACTGAAACCGTCAACCTTCGGGTTAGAAGTTGACCCGGCTTACACCCGAGCCGGTCGACACTCACGGTTCATGCAATCCAGATGGTGAATGTCTGGATCAGTCTGGATCAGATAATATTACCAACAGTGCTTGTTGCCTGTGAAACACTGAATGAGTTTATCCAAGCATTCACCGTCTAAACAATGGGCAACGTTTATCGAACAACGGATGCTCTTATTTACACCAGGTGCTTCAGTCACGCAAAACTTGGTAGGATAAAAACACTGATGGCATTCGATGAAAAGTTGGTTTTGGAGTTCAAAGAGTAAGCTCATTGTATCGTAGTTACTGTTTTGTTATCCAAATCTACTAAGACTGTTTGCTTCAAAGAGGTGGTTACTTTAGCTCCCGTAGTTGTACTCTAGCGTTCTTACGGAGCGTTAAAATAACCAGACAGGATGTGGCAAATAGGAAACGCTTGATTCTATTACAGTAGACATAACCCTGATTAGCATTGAAATAGTGCGATAAGCATAATTCGCAAGCAAATGAAACCTCATCACAAAAATACGACTTCGATGCCCATCCTTTCCCGCTCGTTCTCGACTCGCGGGTCAACAAGAGAATAACCTGTTGAGGAGCATCACCCTACAGTCAGATTTTTGTCTCTGAAAAGCACAGTTGAATGTTCGGGGGGATACGGTTCTGTTTGGAAGACAACACAGCAAATGACTGAATAAAATCACTGACTTCGAGAAAAAGGGTTAGGGATCAATGAATTATCATGGATCAGAATGAATCGCGGTACGGGAGTGAAGAAAGAACCGAGCATAGGAGGTGGGAGAAGGGTTGAAATGTCAGTTCCCACTGATGAGCAATCCATAACGCAGTGAAATGTTGTCAATGTGCTTGTTGCATAATCAAGTTAGTAACAAATGGAGATCACAACATGAAGGCTGTTAAAAATTATTTTTATGCCCTTAAAAGCGGTGGCTCAGTCAGATTGCCCCGAACTCTCGTGATCGTAATCCACTGATGATTTTGAGTATTCGGAATAACTCTGTTTGATTACCCGAGTAATCCATATCAGCAATGTGAGCATGATTGTCTTTGCAGTTTCTACAGTGTTGACTAAACTGTAAGTNACTTAAAACATTTTCACTTCAGCTGGAACCAATGTAGCGTCATACGGATCCACCAATTACAATTGGTACTTGGGACTAAACGTCACCAAATCTGATCCGTTCTGTCACAGTGCCACTGCAGTCAGAATAAACTGATTCTTCAACAGATAAACAAACATTATAGACAGGGACGAAATTGTTGGTGGGGTGGAAGTCTCACTAACTGTTCAAAATACTCAAAGATGATGTTTGGCTCTTTGTCTGTGTACCTCACTTCAGAAGAACAAAGAAAAACAACAATAAATGCTCATTTTCGTTCACTGCAACTAGCTTCTTCCAATCGCCAAAAACATTTATTTATTTATTTATTTATTTATTTCTCACGTCCCTTTTTTGTGAATGTTATAATGTTAATAACACAGCGATGTCGGTAGAGAATTAAT